CATACATACATACATACATACATACATACATACATACATACATACATACATGCAGTTTATTCATATATACACACACACTCACACAGTTCTACTCACCCACCCACCCACACACACATATACATACACACATGTCTGCATCCATGCGTTCATCCATACATGTCTGATTCCATATGTTTATCCACGCATACCTAGAGACAATTAAAGAAATGAGCGAACTTTATTTTTCAAAATGCAACAAACTGGGCACGCAGACCCGTTACATTCGGCCCTTCCAAACACTCACTTCAAAAAAGCATGTTATGTTCATATAAAAATATACATATTATGAATTTCAAGCTAAAATACAAAAGCACGGGCGGTAAAATGCATGCGTGCGCACGCACGACCACATACACACCCACGTACACAGGCAAACCCACTCACTCACTTACACACACAACGCACCAACATACCTACATTCGTACACACACATCAACAAACATACATGCTCACATACAAACATACATACATATATGCATACACACACTCATACACATATACGCACACGCAGCTGCACACACAGACACCTACAAACAAAGACACAGACACACATAGGCAGAGACACACACCTAGATGCATAGATACACACATATAGACACACACAGACATATACAACACAAGTAGACAGAAATACACACAGACACACCAACTGACACACACACAAACACACACAGAGATACACACAGACATTATGAAATAGACACACACACAAGACACACACAGATCCACACGAAACCACACAGGTACAGACACACACAGACACACACAGACACACACTGACACAGACAGACACACCTATAGACACAGACAGACACACTTATAGACACAGACAGACATAAACACAGTCAGACACACACAGACACACTGAAGCACACAGAACATACACACAGACACATACACTCAGACACACACACAGCTAAACACACAAACACACCCACATACACACACACTGACACGCATACAATACACGCAAGACACAAACAGACACACGGACACACACATATAGACACACATACAGTGACATTTACAACACTCACACTGACACACACACAGAGACACGTACACAGTCACACACGCAGACACATTTGCACAAAGACGCACACGCACGCACAGACACACACAGAGACACACACAAACACACAAGAGAAACATGCACTGATAAACAGAGGCAAGCAGACAAAGAGGCTTACAGACAGACAGGCTTACAGACAGGCTTAGAGACAGGCAGGCTTACATACAGACAGGCTTGCAGACAGGCTTACAGACAGGCTTACAGACAGACAGGCTTACAGACAGGCATACAGACAGGCTTACAGACAGGCTTACAGACAGACAGGCGTACAGACAGACCTATAGACAGACAGGCTTACAGACAGACGAACAGGCTTACAGACAGGCCTACAGACAGACAGGCCTATAGACAGAGAGGCTTACAGACAGACAGGCCTACAGACAGGCTCACAGACAGACAGGCTTACAGACAGACAGGCTTACAGACATACAGACTTACAGAGAGACAGGCTTATAGACATGCTTACAGATGGACAGACTTACAGACATACATGCTTACAGACAGACAGACAGACAGACTTACAGACAGAAAGACTTACAGACAGACATGCTTACAGACAGGCTTACAGACAGAGAAACCTACAGACAGACAGACTTACAGACAGACAGGCTTACAGACAGACAGACATGCTTATAGAGAGACAGACTTACAGACAGACAGTCTTACAGACAGACAGACTTACAGAGATACATGCTTACAGACAGACAGAATTACAGACAGATTTTCAGACAGACTTACAGACAGGCTTTTAGACAGACAGGCTTACAGACAGACAGGCTTACAGACAGACAGACTTACAGAGATACATGCTTACAGACAAACAGACTTACAGAGATACAAGCTTACATACAGACAGACTTACAGAGATACATGCTTACAGACAGAGAGACTTACAGACAAACAGACAAAGACAGACAGGCTTGCAGACAGATTGGCTTACAGACTGACAGGCTGATAGACAGACATGCTTCGCACAGGCTTAAAGAGAGACATGCTTTCAGACAGACATGCTTACAGACTGGCTTACAGACAGACAGGCTTAAAGACAGACAGGCTTACAGACAGACATGCTTACAGACATACAGGCTTACAGACAGATAGGCCTACAGAAATACAGACTTACAGACAGGCTTACAGACAGACAGGCTTACAGACAGACAGGCTTTCAGACAGACAGGCTTACAGACAGGCTTACAGACATGCTTACAGACAGGCTTACAGACAGATAAACTTATAGACAGACAGACTTACAGACAGGCTTACAGCATGACAGGCACACAGACAGACAGGCTTATAGACAGACAGACTTTCAGACAGGCCTATAGACAGGCTTATAAACAACAGGCTTACATTCAGGCTTACAGACAGATAGACAGGCTCACATACGGACATGTTTACAGAATGACAGGCTTATCGAGAGACAGGATTAGAGGCAGGCTCACAGACAAGAGTATAGTCAGGCTTACAGATAGACAGGCTTACTGACAGGATCACTGACAGACAGCCTTACAGACAGACAGATATAGACTAGCTGACAACAAAGTCGAGTGCCTGGTCATGACATTCAGTTATTACGTTGCTTTTTCTTTTAAGTTTGCTTGCTCATAAACTCATCCGTCTGAAGCTGTTGGCACAGTGGTGGATAACAGACTGGATAACTAAAAAAGCATTTCTATTGAGCTGTTGTATTCGATTTTTTGGACAGCAATTGTATGACATGTTTCCATCGATTATCCTATTGTTCCCTTATAAAACACATAGGGCTCGCAGTCTATTTCTCCATTCCTTTCTCCATCATGTGAAATCAGTTGAATACCATGGATGGAATGAAGTCCAGCAGCCTTGGCCTCTCTTATTAGCGTTCGTCTTGGGGTTTCTTTCTGGCGTCTTCGCCTCCTTAATCCTTATATTTCCCATTGCAAAGCCTGTTAGTTGATTCTCTGCTAGCTTCTTTCGGAATGTGCCCAGTGTAGCGCCATCTTCTCTGTCTTATAATTGTTGATATGTATGGTTGTCTAGCCATCTTCTCTGTCTTTTAGCTGTTGATATGTATGGTTGTCTAGCCATCTTCTCTGTCTTATAATTGTTGATACGTGTGGTTGTCTAGCCATCTTCTCTGTCTTATAATTATTGATATGTATGGTTGTCTAGCCATCTTCTCTGTCTTATAATTGTTGATATGTATGGTTGTCTAGCCATCTTCTCTGTCTTATAATTGTTGATATGTATGGTTGTCTAGCCATCTTCTCTGTCTTATAATTGTTGATATGTATGGTTGTCTAGCCATCTTCTCTGTCTTATAATTGTTGATATGTATGGTTGTCTAGACATCTTCTCTGTCTTATAATTGTTGATATGTATGGTTGTCTAGCCATCTTCTCTGTCTTATAATTGTTGATATGCATGGTTGTCTAGCCATCTTCTCTGTCTTATAATTGTTGATATGTATGGTTGTCTAGCCATCTTCTCTGTCTTATAATTGTTGATACGTGTGGTTGTCTAGCCATCTTCTCTGTCTTATAATTGTTGATATGTATGGTTGTCTAGCCATCTTCTCTGTCTTATAATTGTTGATACGTGTGGTTGTCTAGCCATCTTCTCTGTCTTATAATTGTTGATACGTGTGGTTGTCTAGCCATCTTCTCTGTCTTATAATTGTTGATACGTGTGGTTGTCTAGCCATCTTCTCTGTCTTATAGCTGTTGACACGTGTGGTTGTCTAAAAATTCCGCTGATTACTTCCCTCTTTTTTAATTCATCCTATTTATTTTAACCAGTTTTCATAGGTTGTGTGTCTGTGTGTGTGTGAGTGTGTGTGTGTGTGTGTGTGTGTGTGAATGGTATGATACGTATAATGCATTTAAGTTGATATATTTGTATACACAGTATGAATCTGGCATTGTCTATTTTCTTATACGGATGTGAGAGTTTGACTGTCATTGTGGGAATGGAAAGAATGTTTCTGGCTGTTGAATAGAAATTCTGTAGTGCAACGAACCTTGGCTTGAAACGTATCTGCTCTCGCCACGATTCGGCTTGATACGATTACCGCAACATAACAACTTGCACTGCTCTAACATCTAGGATTGATAAAACAAACTGCTCTCAATTCCTTTATACATTTCTGTCAGTTGATTCTATCACATTCTTCCACACTGTTCCAACAATTATTCAGACATCCACGAATCATTCTTAAAACATTCAAACTACATCTTCTATTAACACATCTGTCTTCTACGACTTCTGGTAACGAACTGACCACGAGTCCAGCTCGATCTTTCCCTCGATCACTCGACCAGCCCCAAGTATCTCTTGCTGTCACTTGTAGAACAGACTTTCTGCTTGCCCTAATGTACGCGTGGAGACCACGCAAAGCACCTCATTACATACACAAAGATTTTGCGAACTAGTTATTTAGAAAACAAAACTAACAAATCTGTCAGAGACAAAATATACACATTTGAGGGACACCAGGAGCCTCCTATGGCAGCGGTGAAACGTCGCAGGCTAGCCTAGTCTGTGCACGTGATGAGACATGATTCGACTGCAAAGACTGTACTTCAAGGAACACGGGGGGGGGGGTGTAGTCGAAGAAGAGGAGGGCAAAGAAGAATCTGGAATGACAACATCAAGAAATATACATGATATACTAATTTATCAAACGTTGTTCAACATGCGCTGGACATAACGATGACAGGTAGTGTGTGTTAGTGCTTCCATCAATACACATCCACGACCCTAAGGGGTCAAGGGTTATCTTATTTTATAATATAAGTAATAATGTAGATAACACCCATAACTTCCATGCAGACGTTGGGCATCAGATGTTTAATCTTTCGTTTCAATATCCTCTACAAACAGTGAGAAAGTGTATCACCATTTGTTTTAGCTATTTTCTTTTAAAATGTATAAAACTGAACATCGCGGCTCTAAACTTGGAGCTCATGTTGTAATATACAAATATATTGACGCTTGAGTTGATCGACTCGAGGCACAGAAAAAACGTTGCGGTCCCAATCACCAGGTTATTGTATCGCCCCTGGATACTGTACTCTTTGCAAGTTGTCATGCCAACCAGAGATACGGACAGGGGCAGGTAACTGATAATGAAGATCACAGAGATTGATATGATCATTAGAACTGTTTTCCTGTCACGAGCTGGAGCTTTATTGTTCTTTGAAAACTGTGAGGTCGATTGCCTCCATTTTGATTTCACCCTGAGCGTGTGGACTAGACCTCCTGTGCTGAGAATAACTACAATGAAACACGAGAGCTGGCAGAAAGCGGCAAAGGACAGTACATAGTTTTCAATCTCTCTGCCATGATGATAATATATCATACCAGTTAAGGTGACGTTATCTGCGTTGACATACGGGTGTAACCAGAAGCTGAAGTATTCAGGCATAATACCTACGATGGTGATGATGAAAATGATGAGAACAATAACAACGGTTTTCCTTGGGGTGATAATACGTTTGATCTTGAGCGGTATGGCCACACAAAGGTATCTTTCGAATGTGATGTACGCCGTTAAGCCGCCTGAGATGCGGCTGAAGCAAACATGAGGCCAACCCACGATGACTTGTACAGCCTGGTTGTCCATTCCTCCGCTTTGGGTGGGCACTAAAGGGTTGGAACAAATACTCATCCAGATTAGGGGTATCAGCGAGCAAAGGTCGGCTATTGATAGGGCCAGAAAGGAAATATTTACAGTCTCTTTGAATCCAATCTTGATGAAAACGATGATGTTGATGATATTAAAGATGATGCCGATGAGGCTAACCGGGCCCGTTATGATGACGTAATTGACCAGGCGAAAGATTTGCAGCAGTTCCTTGGTTACAAAACCTCTAAACTCTGGTTCAAGGTCGTCTATAATTGTGATGTTAATATAGATTACCGTTTCATTTGTACTCCTCAAAAATTCGGTCATCTCCGAAACACAGATGTCTTCACCCCTGGCAATATATTTTTTTTTTTTAAATCGTCAGCTGTTTTAACAAGTTCTTTAAAGAATGTATCTTTGAGTTCGTTGGACCTGTAAAAACATCAAGTTGCTGATGCTGAAGTCTGAAGACAAAACCTGTCCGCACTGTGCAGCCGGTGTTTGATGGTAACTTAGCTTGGGGAGATTCAGGCGTTTTAGCCCAAGGTCTTTAGAAGTTATTATCGTTACTTGGACCTTGATAGAGAAGACATTACCTTCTTTAGACCTTTAAAAAAGGTTAATTTACAGCTCCATAAAATGCCTAAAATGTGCATGAAGTAAAACTAAAAACATTAAACAACAACAACAACAACAAAAGGACTCGACTTCGATCAATACAAACTACATACAGCAAGCTACGGAGTAGAAGTCGACGTTTCAAACCTAAAGAAATATGTGCAAAAGATTAACAGAAGCAATGAAGAGATAAGAACTATTGGAACAATACCAGTCGTTAAATTCATTGAGAAACACGGGGTGAAATGGCTCAGCGCCCTACTGAGAATGAATCTAACGATGCCAGCAACGAGAATACGCAACGTTAAAATTGAAACATCAAAAGGCAGAAGGAGACGAAGAAAAAAATTATATAAGGAGTCACTGAAAGCCTGAAACCTCATAACATTTTAGCATTCTAAGCAGCCGAGTACGGCCTGGCTTGGCTACCTATCTGTGTTAAGTTACGATGCCTGGTGGAACAAAGCAGATATTGACAAGAGAAAGTAGTACCACGAAGAGGTTTGTTCAATTCGCTCGGTTCTAAGAAAGTGGTTCTGTAACTCATACAGGTTTGGGTGTGAGGAGTTAAGGTGACACTACTGTAGGGTGTATAGAGTGGTACAACTATAGGAGCGGAGGAGTTAAAGTGATACCACCGTAGGGTGTATAGAGTGGTACAACTATAGGAGCGGAGGAGTTACACTGATACCACTATAGGACCGGAATAGTTACAGTCGGAATCAAGTGAAACGTTTATGGTAATAATTAGGATCTCATCTTCTTCTTAACGTTCGCTAGCTTTCAGACGGAAAGTTCTGGTTGTACGTTCACTCCTGGACTTTGTTCTTGCACCTTTTTCTCTTCACGGATTTGTATACAGACTGTTGGTTCCTCATCTCTCAAGCAGATGCACTCCGATTTCAAATGAAATATCACTAGTCTCCTTGAACAACTCTTTTTTCTAGGGGGTGTTGGTGCTTCACCCCCCCCCCTCTCCCCTCCCCCCACCTCCTCCTCCCCTCCCGTTCTTCTCAAAACTGCATCAGAATTCCACTGGCTGTAATAACCTGGATTATCTAAAAAGAGTATTAAACAAATCTATAGTTTCAGTTTGAGTGTCGCCGTGGTGTTGATGGCTAAACGCCCGCCTGCGGGTCGGAAGGTCGTGGGTTCGCGTCCTGACGGAGCCGGACTGTTTTCAAAAGTGACTAAAATTCCCTCGGCTGGGGATTGGAACTGACCAAGACCAGTTAAAAAAGCCAGCCAGCCACTCTTCTACCCACACGACCACAAGTGTTTGAATAAATCACAAATGATGATTATTTTCTGAAACATCCGACCATCTACCGACAGAATAAAAGTTAAGAAAATTCAGTAAAATACAAAGATCAAACGAAAGAGATGTAATGTTTACTGTTTTTAACCACAAGACAAGAAATGTCCTCAAGTTTAGAATTCATATTTTTCTGTCTAATCGATCTGTAATTATTGAGTACAGGATTTAAAAAAAAAAAAAAACGGATGTTCCGCAGACTGAATTATCTATTATTATATACCTCAGAAAAAACAAAATAACGTATATGAGCATACGTCTGTTCGTTCAAACTCATCCTTTAAAGTGTTACTTTTAAATTATAGGGAGCAGACTTTTGCAATCGAATTTTTCTCCTTGCCGTAGTTATTGTATATTGTCTGTCCTGTTGTTAGCGTCCTATTATTGCTTCCCCTGAAAGAAGATTTGTATAATTGTGTGCCCTTGCTGTAGTGTTTTATTTCTGCATGGGATGCCAATCTGTCAAGAGTGAACTGCCAGTTTGGTATTGGCCTTAATTGTAAGACACCAGATTTCACTCACACGTATTAGGCTGAAACAATTGATAACACTCCTAGCATAATTGTTATATATCTTGTTATTATTAATAATTAATTACTAAATCAATATGAAGTCTGTTGTTGGTGCACACAAACAATGGCACTTAGGCTAGATGGAGATCCTTGTATGGTATTATCGCGGTCAATTACATTGACTTTGCTCACCAAGTCACAAAGCCTTCAGTGTAAATTTAGCTATTGTCTCAACGTTCCAGTACGTTCTGTCTATAAAGTACTAATGTCTCTTACACACAAACACACACACACACACACACACAATATATATATATATATATATATATATATATATATATATATAATATTATATTAGACATTATATAAATGTACTCTAACTGCCGTGTAGATATTTTGTTGTGGTCCTATCTCAAGACAGATTGGCTCGACTTTGACATCATTGCTAGGTAAATTAGCTGTAGTATTTATTGCTAGAAACTCTAAACGTGTGCCCTAAAAGAATCTCAAAGATCTCGTGGTAAGGTCCCAAAGCCAGGCAGGTCATCTACGTGAAGACATTCAAGATACACTGGTTATGAGAGTACATGGGGCTGAAGAACTGGATGGGGACAGAAATAGACTTTCGTGAGCGCCATTAAGAGAGCGACGTTCTGCCAACGAGTTGCTGACTGATGTTGATGAGTTATTTGTACGGCAAACCTCCTAGGTCCTCTCTTACGAATCATTGGATAAATCCTACCTCAAAACTGATGAGATAAACTGATGTGCAGCTGATGTAGAAAATAAGAAAGGGCGTGAACCCAAAACAAACTGTCAAATCAATTTTTACCTCCTCTGAATTTGAACAAAGAAGCCGCACAAAAAGGTTTCACAATCTAATGCAGACAACAAGGTCACCAACTTGCGTTTGCCTTTATGAAAAAGACAGTTACTTTTCAATGTTGTCGATTTTGTTTTTCGGTTAGAATGATTCATTTATTTGCTTTATGTTGATTAATTCTTACTTCAGCATTCAATGAAGAGATGCAGCGAAATTGCTAGGCCAGAAATTATGCAGTCAGCTGTTTGTGTCTTTGTTCGAACACAAACTACGACTACAAAGTTCAACGGAGGAACACCAAAAAGACCCCCATAAATACAACTCAACGTTTCTACCATAGTCTTTATCAGCGGAGTGCTACATACAACGCAAACTGTGACTAAGAAACTCAACGGAAAGGACATTTATTTGCATTTTATGTTGTATTTATCACTTCGTGTGATCGGAGTGACGACAATGATCCGTTTTACTTTATTACACATATAACACACAATGGGAAATCAATGGGGAAATGTGGTGGATAAAAGTTCACTAAACAGGCTCCCCTACAAGCATGTCGTAAAAGTTGACTAATTGCCATCTTCCGTTGAAGTCGTAATGCTTGAACGGAAAGGAACCGACATTATGTGTAGAAATTAGTCAGATCTGTAAAACGGATGTGCATGCAACATGCGGGTTCTGGAACAGGGCTAGAGTTCAGAAGTGGACGAACAAACGAAACTTTCCGCACAGGTTTACTGTCGGTGAATACAAACAAGAAAAAGATATCTCGTATACTTATAAACACTCGATGTGCAGGACTGTCAACGCTGAAACTATCATTATGTGCCTTGCCCAGTGACGTAGGCTTTCGTGTAAGTAAAGCAAAGAACACTTTTCCACGCCTCTAGGCGTATAGGGCTAGACCTGTATGTTATAGACCAATCGGCACAAGATGGGTGATGTGGTCAACATCACGCCGGCGGCCTTTATTTCCCAGGACTGCACCCAGTACCCACTCAAGCCTGGGTGGACCAGGGAGCCAAGGCAATTTTTTTTTTTTATGTAAGGCTCCGCCATGACCTTCTGATCCGCGTCAAGCGTCTAGCCGATGTGTCACGGCGACTCCCCTGTTAGTTATTTCCACAAATTTAGGTTCTTGGTATTCTGAATCCGCTCCACTGGTGATATTTCTCCATGCCATCACTGGAGGCTCTCAAACGTCTTTCACCGGGTCCGCCTTGTCCATTTCTACCGTCAACAATTCCAGCCATCAGGATGTTCTCTAATGCCTCTCTTCCAATCTCATGACAGAAGAACACTGACTGCTTCTTTCTTATAGTCATCGATAGTTTAGTTTTCCCATTTCATCGGGCACTTTAAGGCAGTCGTTTCTAGTCTACGGTAGAAACCACTTCACCACATCATACAGGTTATTTTAATTTCTTCATTGACAATTCCGGTTTCCCAGCCATATTCATAGCAACACTGTTTTACTGCTTTAGCTGTTTCCTCACCAAACTATGACCGAGGCGATATTCCAAGGTAGGACGGTTGATTTGAACACCGGAGCAGGATATTTTGCAGTTACATGGATGTGTTTTTACCTTGATTGTCAAATCATTTAAATTTGTTGTGAATATCTATGACATCTTCCCAGAAAGGATGAGTTAACTCTCTACTGACGTCCCAAATGTGGTTACATCGGTCCGAGGAATCAGATATCAGTTGCTTTGTAATACCGCTGTTAGAGATGATAGAGTATGTTGGGATTAGCTACTGAGTTTAAAACATTTATGAAACATAAAAAGGACACAATAAAAGTAAACATTTTATTAAGAAACGATGCATTTAAAAAAAATTTTTAAACGTTTTGACAACATAAGATGAAGACGTGACTTGACAACATAAGATGAAGACGTGACTTGACAACATAAGATGAAGACGTGACTTGACAACACAAGATGAAGACGTGACTTGACAACATAAGATGAAGACGTGACTTGACAACACAAGATGAAGACGTGACTTGACAACACAAGATGAAGACGTGACTTGACAACATAAGATGAAGACGTGACTTGACAACACAAGATGAAGACGTGACTTGACAACACAAGATGAAGACGTGACTTGACAACATTAGATGAAGACGTGACTTGACAACATAAGATGAAGACGTGACTTGACAACACAAGATGAAGACGTGACTTGACAACATTAGATGAAGACGTGACTTGACAACATAAGATGAAGACGTGACTTGACAACACAAGATGAAGACGTGACTTGACAACATAAGATGAAGACGTGACTTGACAACACAAGATGAAGACGTGACTTGACAACACAAGATGAAGACGTGACTTGACAACATAAGATGAAGACGTGACTTGACAACACAAGATGAAGACGTGACTTGACAACATAAGATGAAGACGTGACTTGACAACACAAGATGAAGACGTGACTTGACAACATAAGATGAATACGTGAATTGACAACATAAGATGAAGACGTGACTTGACAACTTAAGATAAAGACGTGATTTGACAACATAAGATGAAGACGTGACTTGGTAGGAATATTTTTGTTTGTTTCGCCTGAAAGAGAAACATAATTTTTACAATCATCGGTTGTTGCTTGCATTAACTTTATGATCATCAGTTGTTACATATGTTTACTTTACATTCATCGGTTGTTGCTTGTGTTAACTTTATGATCATCAGTTGTTACATATGTTAACTTTACATTCATCGGTTGTTACTTGTGTTAACTCACTATGGATTGTTCTGATCATCATTATCATCATGTGCTCTGGCAAATAACCTAAATGCTGATGACTGCAGATCTTGATTCTTGTTGTTCAAGACGAATTGTATTTCTCGACTGTTATTTCTTATCACTGTTTAAAATGTTCTAGTTGCTTCGTTGTTAATTATTATGACAGTGAAAAAATCAAAATGTTAACAGAAACATTCTGAACTCGTTTACTTATAGACGAAGATTTGTGTAGAAAAAGTGCATTGTTTATTAATGGTAATATCCTTTATTTCATCGTTTTGTTTTGTTCCAAAATATTACAGACGGAGATAATAGATGAGCCAACCATACTTATTTCTGTTAAATTAGTTCGTGTTATTACCAATGAAATTGTTATATCACTAGCTTTGTTTCTGACAGTATGCAACAGTGCGCACAACAAACTTTTTTTTCAGGCATTTTTGTTCTGCGCTCTGTAATAGTCATTTTGTTGTGAGTATTTCAGACACCTTGTCGTGAGACTCGGCACCTTTTTTAAGACACCTAGTGGTGAGTACCTCGCCGTGTTTTAAGAAACCTAGTGGTGAGTACCTCAACGTGTTTTAAGACACCTAGTGGTGAGTACCTCGCCGTGTTTTAAGACACCTAGTGGTGAGTACCTCGCCGTGTTTTAAGACACCTAGTGGTGAGTACCTCGCCGTGTTTTAAGACACCTAGTGGTGAGTACCTCGCCGTGTTTTAAGACACCTAGTGGTGAGTACCTCGCCGTGTTTTAAGACACCTAGTGGTGAGTACCTCACCGTGTTTTAAGACACCTAGTGGTGAGTACCTCACCGTGTTTTAAGACACCTAGTGGTGAGTACCTCACCGTGTTTTAAGACATCTAGTGGTGAGTACCTCGCCGTGTTTTAAGACACCTAGTGGTGAGTACCTCACCGTGTTTTAAGACACCTAGTAGTGAGTACCTCACCGTGTTTTAAGACACCTAGTGGTGAGTACCTCACCGTGTTTTAAGACACATTGTGATGAGTAACAGCAATTTTTTAGACACTTTGTGGTGAGTATCGACACCATTTTTGGAGATACTTTGCAGTGAGTACCGGCACCTTTTTTAAACACTCTGTGGTGAGTACGTACACTGTTCTAGGCACCTTGGTGTTAGTACCAGTATCGTTGTTTTTTTCTCTATAAGTTAAGATGATTTTGCTACCATAACAATAATTATTATAATAACCACTTATAACATGAACATTAATGGGTCTAGTCTCTCTCAAGACAATGTGATGAAGCATGGTGGTGCCTTGATAACAACAGCTAGAAGATGCATTTAACAGTTAAATGGACAATAGTTCCGGCAAAGTTTCACAGGATGAGGAATGTGATACACGGAGATGAGAGAGGGAAAGTTCTCAAAAGTTACTCAGAGCCAGTCCTGGTGAGCAGAAGTGAATCATGGGCAGGCAGCTGATAAATAAGAAATTACGTAGAAGCATTCTGATAACACCTGCCTAAAAATCATTTCAATCGTTTAAGATTAATTCTGTACGATAGACATGGCCAATAAAGACATCTTTTTTTATTTAAGTGTGCCTAGTTGGTAATGTTCTTAGTACTCTTGTTTCCATGCGAGGCGCACTTGCAGTCTGCAAATGGCAGGTTTGCTTCCTGACACCGTAACTATAGCTTTCGAAGGTTATGTTGCCTAGTGTGTCCTTCTATCTTTCTCGTACTTTCTATAAGTACCGATCAATACGTTGTCTGTTTGCTTATATATATATATATATATATATATATATATATATATATATATATACTCCCTCAATGCCCCCCCTCCCCCAACGTTTATTTATGTGAATATTTTTCTAAAAAAGTAGAAAAAGATAGTCTAAGGATTGGTATGTTTAATGTGCGTACCCCGTGCCGAACAGGTAAGTTTGATTGTATAATTCCTGGGGCAAAAGAAAAGAAACAAAAGTCTAAGAGAGAGTGCACTACTCAGATAAATGACAGAGAGTTGTGTAGATCAGTTGCAGCTAACTTTTAGTGTGGAGACGACACTTGGCTGATTGATGTAGAGGCTCTAGACATGTGTTTTTTCCCAGCTGTATACATAAATGTTTTTTCCCAGCTGTATACATAAATGTTTTTTCCCAGCTGTATACATAAATGTTTTTTCCCAGCTGTATACATAAATGTTTTTTCCCAGCTGTATACATAAATGTTTTTTCCCAGCTGTATACATAAATGTTTTTTCCCAGCTGTATACATAAATGTTTTTTCCCAGCTGTATACATAAATGTTTTTTCCCAGCTGTATACATAAATGTTTTTTCCCAGCTGTATACATAAATGGTTTTTCCCAGCTGTATACATAAATGGTTTTTCCCAGCTGTATACATAAATGGTTTTTCCCAGCTGTATACATAAATGGGTCGTGGGTTTGAGTCTTGACAGAACCGGGCTTTCATAAAAAATGACCTTGATTCCCAGGTTCACCCAGATTGAGTGGATACCAGGCGCAGTCCTGGGAAGTAAAGGCGGCCGCCCTGATGTTGACCACACCACCCATCAAGTGCCAAAATAATATAGATCTAACCCTATATGCCCAATATGCTTGGAAAAGTGGAAAAGTGTCATTTAGGTTTTTCTGATACATCAACGAGCAGAACACAATGGTCAGTCAACAATCATAATCAAGATGTGTGAAACGAAATTAATTTATAAACAAAACCGACTTTTCACAATATTAGGAGACAGTCTTTGTGTAGGCTATTTAAAAAAGGAGACACCGGAAGAGAGGAGGCGTAGGAGGAGACACTGAAAGGCTGGAAGGAGGTGTAGGAGGAGATACTTGAAGGCAGGAGGTGTAGGAAGAGATACTTGAAGGCAGGAGGTGAAGGATTAGACACTGCAAAGTCAGGAGGTGTAGGAGGAGACACTGGGAGGGAGGAGGTGTAGGAGGAGAGACTGAAGGGAAGAGGTGCAGGAGGAGACACTGGAAAATTAGATGTGAAGGAGGAGACACTAGAAGGAAAGAGATGTAGCAGGAGACTCTGGAAAAGAAGAGATGTAAATCAAGAATGAAGCTGCTGACACCGAAGAGTGGAGGAACATCTGTATCACATACCACTGGCAGTTCACAAGAGACTATGGGGAGAAAAACAGACAAGAGACTATGGGGAGAAAAACAACAAACAACACCAGACAGCAAAGACAAAGAGAAAAATTAGAGTACATGAAGTCACCTACAAATGATTAAATACAAATGTAATGTTCAGCCTTGACGACTGGAACCTCGGCCCCTGCCTCTTGAGCCTCTGCGAGAAGGTCTGGTTGAGTTGGCGGCTCCTTGAATGGTGAGGTTGAGCACAGAGTCCAGGGTGAGGACTTTGACAACTTCTGTGTTTTCACTGGCTGTTGCTGTAGAAGTGGGGAGATATTCAGATTACTAACTTGGGCAGCAATATTCCTAGTCCGCTACATATCGTACATACAAGCCAGTGCACACATATATATCAGCTGACACCGTTGTAAAGACATATTCATACCAGTACTGTGCTAATAGTGCCAGACTTCGACATTACCAACTGAACCATCCGATCCTGAGGCAACACGGACTAACAACAACATGTGCAACACACCTGGCCCAGGATAGAAAACTGCGACTCCCCACTACGCTGTGAGGCAATTGTGGACAAGACAAGACAAGACCATCCGAGACTACGTTAAGAAAGATATTATCAGATTGAAGGAACAACACCAGGCAGATGATTCATTGGGAAACAGAAGATCAAATGGTTTGGTGATTCAGTAGGAAGGCAGCCCGAAGGACTACCAACGCAGGCGCTAGACATGAAACGATCAGAAGTGAAAGCAAGAGACCGCCACAGAAGACGATGGATTGTTGACATTAAAGTCCCTCTATATCGACACGGAATGACAATAACCTTTGCTGTCTTTCAAAAAATGGATCGCACACTTTTCCTCCCCACAACTCTAAACGGCAGAAGTGGAAACTGATGATGATGATGACAATGATCACCAACTTGGAGGTGGATCACTTGTTTAATGTCGAAGGGAATGAACTCTTACTTTTCTTCTTCTTCGAGGGTTCACAGCCTGTAAACTTCGGTAGAAAATTCTGGATGTTTAGCCACTTCTGGATGTTCATCTAGTTCTGGATGTTCATCTAGTTCTGGACGTTGATCATGTTCCAAAACTGTAGTTTTGCGTGGACACATCTGTGTTCCAGATCGCGCTTTTTTTTATGCAGACTGATGGTTTCTTTTGTCTCAGGCATATGCTCTCCGATTTTACAGGATTCGTCGATTCTATCTACTTTTGCTATGCTTCTATTGGAAACCTGTTGCTAGAATTCCTGTGGAAATGTGAAGAGAGGACGTGGTTAGAATAAACTTAATGCTGGTGCACGCGTGGATCAACAACTCTGTGTCCAGAATGATGATGATAATAATGATGACTACAAAGACAATTATAAATGAAAAACTAATTAACTATTCAGTTACCTGCAGCTGATGTTCTAGCCACTCGACCACCTCGGCAGGCTTTGCGAAGCGACGGGTTAGAGTCGAACAACTCGCGGGCAGCTTGTCGGGAAAGAACCGGACTTGATCCGTCAAGAGAGATCTCTGGACTGGCACCTACATCAGTGTTCTGGTGTCAACAAACAAACGACAAATCATCCACGGTCAAAATATCGTGATAATACCGAGTATACAAACAGATATACTGCCACCTCTCCACACCCCCCCCCCCAACAAATGTCCTCATGGGGGAGGAGGGATGCCGTAAGAGTGAAAGAGAACACATCACAGAAACCCCGTTCAACCATAAATAAAGTTACATTAGGGCACCTGACTGTTAAAAAGTGCCTGAAGTCCAGACATGGTAGGCTAAGGCGTGGAACGGAGGTAGGTAGGGGCTCTACAGCAGCCCCAAAGGCGTGATTTATGTTAAAACTGTGACTAGGCTATCAAATGTCTTAGCATTGCACGCCACCAAGAAGCCATGGGAAGAACTCCCGCAGTGTTGATGCGATCACAGGAGACAGACCCAAATAATGTCCCGACCTGAAACAAAGTCGTCTACCGGTGAGCAAATGGGCCGAACGGTCTCGGATGAAGGGCCATCACTGGTATGTAGGTGGACATTCACACACACAACACACAACACACACACACACACTAACACACGCTCGAGCGCATGGGCATACAAGCCCCACGTACGCACACACACAAACGCGTGCACATGCACACTTGGCCTCTCTTTGTCTCTCACATATACACGCAAACACGCATACAAGCCCACATGCACACATGGCCTCTCTCTCCCTATCTCTCACACACACTCACACACATACACGCACACACACAAACGCGCTCACATGCACGCACGGCCTCTATTTCTCTATCTCTCCCACATACACACGCATACACGCACACACAAACAGGCCCACTTACGTTTCTCTGCGCCAGGGTAGCAATGACGTCACTGTAGGTCAAGTTTGTGTCCAAGATGTAACAGGGAAGGCCCCTCCTGTGCCTCTCGTAAAGCGTCACTGACACGATCTGTGAGGACATCAAGTGGCATCATCTAATGATTACATCTGACACAACGGAACCAACCAAGTCTGACACAACGGAACCAACCAAGTCTGACACAACGGAACCAACCAAGTCTGGCACAACAGAACCAACCAAGTCTGACACAACGGAACTAACCAAATCTGACACAACAGAACCAACCAAGTCTGACACAACAGAAGCAACCAAGTAAGTAATATCCCCGACCCAATATGGGACACAATTTTTGAGTGGATTGGAAGATCCTGGGTTGGCTCTCTGGCGAAGCCAGACTTTTTTCAAACATGATTGTGGCTCCCAAGTCGACCGAGCCTTGAGTGGGTACCGGGTGTTGTCCGGGGAAGTAGAGGTGGCCGGCGTGATGCTGACCACATCACCCATCTTGTGCCGACTGGTCTATAAAATATAGTTCTAGCCCTGTTTGGAGTGGAAAATACTCCTTGACTTGAACCTACTTAGAATGTGACAACTAAGATATGAAGATCAGCGTAGACAAAACAGAAGTGATGACATCCTTCAGAACAGGAAGAAAGACTACGATATGAAGATCAGCGTAGACAAAACAGAAGTGATGACATCCTTCAGAAAAGGAAGAAACTTAATATCAAAATCGATAAACACCGGTTAAAGCTAGCGAAGGATTTGACATACCTGGAAAGCATTTCTTTTTTTTTTTTTTTTTTTCAAGAAAACGGAAGAATAAATAAATAAATCCAACAAAGATGTAATTAAGCCAATCAGGTTTTAGGCTAAATGGCGCCATGTTTGAAATGCATGTACGTGAATATGAACAATAAAAGAACATTGTTGTACACAATATTCTTACCAACGCTCTGCTATCAATGTCAAACATGGAGACTGCCTTCAGTAAATAGAAGGAACATTTTCACGACAGAAATGAAGTGTTTACGTACTATGTTTGGTGAAACGAGGAAAGATCGACCTATGAACGATGATGTCAGGAGGAAAGTTGGCACAGAACCAATACTGAACTTTAAAGGTTGACAACAAGTCAAATAGTTTGGCTACGTAACAATACCGGCATCAGAAAGGGCACCACAATGTTATACAGATACAGCGGTAACAGAACCAGAGGTCGACCAAGCAGAAGTGGACAGCAGAAATGTCAGAGACACAGAAAGGTACTCTATATGAAGCGAACATAAGGACCAGTTAAAGAGATGTCTTCCTGTCTAGAAGCTACCAGACATTCCAGGAGGAGAGACCAGAAAAACAAGAAGAATGCCTGGACATCAGGTCGTTCAGATTCAGTGACGAGCTACTGAAGGTAAAATTGTTGAAATCACAAACAGTCAACACGTGTTGGGGTCAGTTATGTAATACCATGTAAACAATATGCCATTAACATTTCTTCTTCTTATTATTGTCTGTGCTGTGTGGCGTTGGTAGTCATGTCTAGCCACAACCTTCTGTCCTTGTACTTTCAATCATTCATGTCAAACTGCTTACCTTGTCTCTTGGTCTCGCTCTGCAAAATACATTTGTAGTATTTCAGTTCAAAAGCTACGATCTTTGTTTTTCTCCAGTGATTGAGTCAAAGGCTGACATCCACAGAAAACATGCATGATTTCAAAGAAAGTTTAACTTGCTTGCGGGTGCTGCACCAGACGGTGGCGGTAGAAAGAGCTAGAAAGTAACTACTGTCTGTTAACGAATGGGTTAAAAAGGCCACCATCTCAAGTTCCCACTTACCGGACTTATGCCCGAGAAGTCATAGAGCAGTAAAGCTTTCTTGAACCCGGCGGCTGGGAGTCTGTCATCGATGGATTTCACGTACATTTGGTTACTGTCCCTGTTGAGTCAAATAGTAAACTTTTGATTGGCACCTTTGTGTCTTTCTAGTCGAAAATGTTATATAATACTGTGAGGATGCACGAGGCTCACAGAACTTTGCGATTCCAATGCCAGTTTAGTCCAGGGATAAAGTTTCTTCTCTGCATAGCACAAAACCTCGACAGTATTGTAGAGACCATATGTTGCACATGCATCATGATTGCGCTCTAGACCTGCCTTGTTTACTCCAAAGGAAAAGTAACAACAGTTTGCCTGAAACAAAACAGGCTACAGAAGCTGGCAGAGAGATGAGCAGTGCTCTATCTGTCCGCCTATCGGAGCTTCCCTCCTAGACCAGCTTCCAGCCAAAGCTAAGGTCCTGGTCTGCCCTGCCATAATATACCACTTTCAGGCTGCATTTCCTCTTCCTGGGATAGGAGTATTCAAGTACAGGAAACTAATTGTTCCAGTCGTGCATCGGGTTTTTGATGCTGGATTCCTTGTTATAGACACTGGATAGGCTATGTGGTCTTCATCATGCCGGCCGCCTTTACTTCACAAACCTAACTCTCTACCTGTTTTAGTCTGGGTCTACCTGAGAATCTGATTTGATGCGGATTAGAGGTCAAGACCAAAAGGTCAGCCAGCATTGGCTGTGTCTGTTTATACAGAGAAACTGCATGTATATAATAGTTATGTACTTCAAGGAAATTAGCGGGGAAATGAAGGAGGTTAGCAGATAACGACTGCTCTGCCGCAGAAGGTATCACGTGATATTTTTCTTGTCGTCGCTGCGTTGTTGAGAGTATGCGCGCGCAGCCAGCATCGTAGTATTAGTAACTGGTCTCTTTCATAAGTTACAGTAACATATAGTGAAATGAAGCATTTTTCTTTTTCCATGAAAAGTGTGAGTGCGTGATTACAGCCTTTACATGCAGCCTCGCTAGTGTTTCAGAAGTCTGTTAGCGAAACAGGAGTTGAACATTCTCACATAGTTCACCCTCTTTCTCTCTCTTTTTCTTTCTCTCTCTCTCTCTCTCTCTCTCTCTCTCTCTCTCTCTCTCTCTCTCTCTCTCTCTCTCTCTCTCTCTCTGCAGTATACACCTCCTCAATCAAATGAGAAGTCTCCGTGGTGTAGCGGCTAGACCTTGGCTCGCAGATCCAACCAGCCTTGATTGGGCACCTGGTGCAGTCCTGGGAAGTAAAGGCTGTCGGTATGCTGATGACCACATCCTCTACAAAGTGCCGATTAGTCTATAAAATATAGGTCTAGCCCTATATGTCCAGTAGACCTGAAGGCGAGGAAGAGGGTCCTTTAATTGTTTACTTGACAGCAAAGCACTTACTCTGGAGTTGTGGCCTCTTCGTTGACTGTAGTACCGGCCGCCAGCTCTCGAGTCCAGGTATAGCGACTGGGGGTGACTCTGTTGCCTCTCCGCCTTTCTGTAGGTCTTCTCCTCTGCGGCGACAGGTGTACATTTTATAAGCATGCAAAAGACAGTGAGGGTTTGTGAATATGGCGAGAACAACAAATAGTGATGTTGGCGCTGAATCAATAAACAACATTGTATCAAACAAGGAAAACAACAATATTTCCTCACTAAAATATTGATGAAGCTTATACTGAAAATCTTCTTCTTCTTCTTCGCGTTGACCAGCTGTAAACTCTGGCGGGAAGTTCTGGTTGTTCACCCACTTTTGGACTAGAGTCCTGTTCCAGGAGCTGAATGTTGCATGTGTATCCGTTTTACATATCTAATTTTATGCAGGCTGCGGGTTCCTTGCCTCTCAGGCAGATGCACTTCTACTGAGAAGGAAGTTCCAAATTAGTCGATTTTTACGACATGTTTTCAGGCAGGCAGTGCGTCTGTTCTTGTGTTCCCTATAATAGGACCCCGAACCCACACGGGGAAATATTGAAAAAGATGGTAATAACAAAAATAACAATACTAGTTATGAAATATGAACTAGGTACTTACTCCTCGCGGAAGGAGCCACCGTGATGTAGTGGCTATAGACTCGCATGCCAATCCCAAGTTCATCGATTCACGTCCTGACCCAGCTGGATACTTTTTGACCTTAACTCCCAGATCGACCCAGCTTTAAACGGTTATCTAGTTAAGTCCTGGGAAGTAAAGGCTGTCGGCATGTTGGTCACCACATGATCCATCGATTGCCGACTGGTCTATCAAATATAGGTCTAGTCCTTTATGTCGAAACGCACAATTTTATAAATGAAAAATAATTTATTCAATAAATCCATGACAATATTGTTGGAAAAAAATTATCCCATGCTGTATATAACCAATTTTAACATATGGCTGTGAATCCTGGACAATTAATGAACAGGCCAAATAATTTCTTGGGGCCTCGGAAATGTGGATTTACAGAAGAATCTCAGAATTCCTTAGACAGAAAAAAAAAAAAAGCAACCTGGATGTTCTGAAAAAGGCGAGGACTCGAAGACAACTTGTCACAAACATAAGAAAGAGACAGATATCAGGTTTTGGGCACGTAATGAAAGGAAGAAAACAGGAACCTGATGTGACTCATCATCATCATCATGTAGCAGCTCCATGTTGTGACTACTGACAAGATTTGTGGAAAAAGAGACAGGGGATGACAAGGCGAGACCATTCTTGGCAACCTTATGTCACAGCATGGACGGATGTCAACACAAGAACTGATACTTACTGCTGAAGACCGCAGTTTGTGGACAGGCATGGTCGCCTACGCCATTGGGCAAGACACTTGATGATGATGAATCTGATAATAGGCATATTAATAATGATGATAAATGAGTGTTCTAGAATTGATAATTGTGGTGGGTTCAGTAAACAAGACGTTAACTCACCGCTTCAACAAGAACTGTCAACAGAAGCATTGCAGAAACCAACCAGAAAAGTTTGATGTCCATCTTGTAGACTTGTCTGTAACAGCCGAAAATGTGCAGCAATCAAATCAAAAAACAAAAACCTGCTGCGAAAAAACAACTGTGATCGCTGCAATGTGGAGTGCTTGGCTATCTCTGTCTCTCTGTCTTGTCTCTGAGACGACAACAGATATTTATGGTGTCACCAGCGGACATGACACCGTCTGTGTTCGTCAGCTTGTTATGTTGAGATGGATCTGTTTACATGCGAGATTTGTCATATTTTTTACGTCTGCAGTTAATACGCAGAATGTGAGAAGGCATGAAATTCTAACAAAACTGTTAAATCCCATAGTTTGATACAAGTATAGAATACCGTAGCCTCCACTTTGCAATGTCATTTTATCAAAGGACAGTTTTAATCATCATCATCATCAGCCTCAACATCAATTTCCACTTTTGCCGTTAAGCGTTATGGGGAGGAAAAGTTTGCGATCCACTGCTTGAAGAGTAGCAATGGCTATTATCATACCATATTGATGAAGAAGCTCTTTAATGCCATCAATCCATTCTCACCTGGGGCGGCCTCTTGATTTCACCTCAGATCTTTTCATAAGTAGCGCCTGCGTTGGTAGTGTTCTGGCTGCACACTTAGAAAATGACCAAACCATGTGGACTTCTGTTTCTCAATGAATTTGCTGTATCGTGTTGTTCCTCCAGTCTGTCCGATAATATCATTTCTCACTGTGTCTCTCGGGTGTTTAAGTTGGCACCTTTTTCTCATTTCAGAGAGTTTATCAGGTAAACCTTTGAGGAAATCCAAGCCTGGCACTGCTAGCACACTATTGGTGTGACTATGCTATTTATAATCTGTTTTTTGTTTTGGGCGCTCATGCTTATGTTGGGATGTCTTAATGATGGTTTCATTTGGTATATCAGTGCACTGGCACGTTGGCATCTTGTTTCTATTTCCCCATCTGTTCTCCCGTCCTCCGAGAATGTACTTCCTAGATATTCACATTCTTTAACTTGCTTTATACAAGTACCATTGATACCCATATGTAGAAAATATCAGGGTGACTGCAATCAGGCTTATACAAGGAATTCCAGAGAAATTTGACTCAAAAGCTCAACAAAATAGGGAAGCAGAAAAACGTGCACAAAATAACACAAATAACGTAAAGTTTCGGCCGGGCAGCCTTTGTCAAACTACACAAAAATAACAACGAAGAGAGGAAAGTATACAGATCTTTAAGAAGTGACGTGAGAAACGTTTTGAAATGTGGTGTGGAATAAATGAAATGAAAAAAAATAAACGATGGCTAAAAAAATATAGTCGCAAAAAATAAAAAGTAATATTTTTAATAAATAATATAATAGTGGGAATAAAAGAAATACAGATGTTAATGATACATAAATGATACTGATAATAGATAGAATAACGTAATAATGTGAAATAATAAAAAAAAAAGAAATTAACGTTTAAAATGTGAAAAGAGTAAAACTGTTTAGATAAAGGTAGTTGGATATTGATACCACCTAGACTAAGAACGCCAAGGCTGTGGATGAGGCGATTTTCCTGGCGTAGTATGATCGTCAGAGCAAGATTTCAATTCTGTGACAGATATACAGGTCAAAAGATGTGTCGCCAAAGGTGTCGCCAAACATAAACACTCTACAGGTAGCCACAGAATAGTAAACCAACACAAAGCTGTATATGAAAGGGAAGTTAATTAATGAACGTAAAAACGAGGTGCGGTGCAGTACATAATTGAACAGGATGTGAAAGAGCGAGAGAGAGAGAGAGAGAGAGAGAGAGAGAGAGAGAGAGAGAGAGAGAGAGAGAGAGAGAGACGGTTGGCTCCAAGACTTTGGAGAGGAAGGACGTGTAGATGCATGTATCTAGTCTGTGTGTTCCAAGACTAGACCTGTGCCCTATGTGTCACGCTGGGTAACGGAATACAGTGTTCATGTTGCTGACGGGTGCTGACGCAGTCACAGGTTCCCAGCGTCAGGGATCCCCAAGGTAACGTGACAGGCCTTGAACGAGAGGTCTGGATAGTTTTCACAAATATGTTCATTGGCCTTGATGGTCTCTAGCGACAGTTGCCTCGACATACAGTCGTCGTTGGAAAGACAGGCACGTTAACCAGGAAAATGGATTTGTGCGATCGGGTACTGATGGCCAGTAACAAAAACTGGAAATAGTATGACAGGAGAAGTCCTTCGGAGCAACGTTCTGTATGTATACCTGTGTAGGAGAAGGAATATCTGTAAATCTATCTTAAGCGTGTCTCGTGATGCAGCCGTTTTTATGATATCAGAATATAGTGTGTACTTTGACGGTGGACCTGTGTTCAGAGTTCTAAGTTATTGTTGAGCGGTAGTTGTGTCCGGTAAAACTGACATCGTTGAGTGACCCCTTAGACTCTTGGCAAGTGTACGAGGCATCATGCTATCTTGTACTACTCCAGCGAACCTTCGCACTCGTCAGTCAGTCCCCTACACGCTGGGGAATATACTGGAGATGGGATCCGAGCACTTATCGAATTGTCCGAAGTGCAATGGGGATAGTCTGTCGATTTACTTACTTAATTATTAACAAACTATATTTTGAGCGCTGTATAATAAAAGGTCCACCATTCAACACCCACCCACACAGGACCGTAGGTTAATTGGTAACCGTTGGTTGGCACCTTTCCGTCTTTCGAGACGATAGGGTTATTTTGTTGGGGAGCGCGGCAGAGATATCGCAGCCCATGGCGATGGCGAGTGGGACTAGCAAGAAACGCCTGAGTTAACAAGGTTTTCCATAATTCTTTCATTTTTGATCATATTGTGCCATTTTATGTCAGGTGCGATCATTTCAATATCGTGGAAGGAATCAAGTCCAGCAGCTTTGGCATCTCTCATCGACGTTCGTCTTATGGTTTCTTTTGGGTATCCCCGCCTCCTTCATCATTTTATTTCCTGCTAAATGCATGTTTGGTGATTCTCTGCTTGCTTCTTTCAGGATGTGTCCAATGCAGCGCCATCTTCTCTGTCTCAAAGCAGTTGATTCTTGCAGTTGCCCAGACATTTCTCTTATTTCTTCACTACTTTTGAATTCATCCCATTTTTTTAAATCATTTTCTTTTTCTCAGAGATTTCCTTCCACCATCAGAACATGGGATTTCAGGATCGATGTTTCCATCACAAGTTGTCAGTGTGTTTCCATTACAGGTTGTCAGTGTGCTTCCATCACAAGTTGTCAGTGTGTTTCCATCACAAGTTGTCAGTGTGTTTCCATCACAAGTTGTCAGTGTGCTTCCATCACAAGTTGTCAGTGTGTTTCCATCACAAGTTGTCAGTGTGTTTCCATCACAAGTTGTCAGTGTGTTTCCATCACAAGTTGTCAGTGTGCTTCCATCACAAGTTGTCAGTGTGTTTCCATTACAGGTTGTCAGTGTGCTTCCATCACAAGTTGTCAGTGTGCTTCCATGTTTCCATCACAAGTTGTCAGTGTGCTTCCATCACAAGTTGTCAGTGTGCTTCCATCACAAGTTGTCAGTGTGCTTCCATCACAAGTTGTCAGTGTGCTCCCATCACAAGTTGTCAGTGTGCTTCCATCACAAGTTGTCAGTGTGTTTCCATCACAAGTTGTCAGTGTGCTTCCATCACAAGTTGTCAGTGTGCTTCCATCACAAGTTGTCAGTGTGCTTCCATCACAAGTTGTCAGTGTGTTTCCATCACAAGTTGTCAGTGTGCTTCCATCACAAGTTGTCAGTGTGCTTCCATCACAAGTTGTCAGTGTGCTTCCATCACAAGTTGTCAGTGTGCTTCCATCACAAGTTGTCAGAGTGCTTCCATCACAAGTTGTCAGTGTGCTTCCATCACAAGTTGTCAGTGTGCTTCCATCACAAGTTGTCAGTGTGCTTCCATCACAAGTTGTCAGTGTGCTTCCATCACAAGTTGTCAGTGTGCTTCCATCACAAGTTGTCAGTGTGCTTCCATGTTTCCATCACAAGTTGTCAGTGTGCTTCCATGTTTCCATCACAAGTTGTCAGTGTGCTTCCATGTTTCCATCACAAGTTGTCAGTGTGCTTCCATCCCAAGTTGTCATTGTGCTTCCATTACAAGTTGTCAGTGTGCTTCCATCACAAGTTGTCAGTGTGCTCCATCACAAGTTGTCAATGTGCTTCCATCACAAGTTGTCAGTGTGCTTCCATCACAAGTTGTCAGTGTGTTTCCATCACAAGTTGTCAGTGTGCTTCCATCACAAGTTGTCAGTGTGCTTCCATCACAAGTTGTCAGTGTGCTTCCATCACAAGTTGTCAGTGTGCTTCCATCACAAGTTGTCAGTGTGCTCCTATCACAAGTTGTCAGTGTGCTTCCATCACAAGTTGTCAGTGTGTTTCCATCACAAGTTGTCAGTGTGTTTCCATCACAAGTTGTCGTGTGCTTCCATCACAAGTTGTCAGTGTGCTTCCATCACAAGTTGTCAGTGTGTTTCCATCACAAGTTGTCAGTGTGCTTCCATCACAAGTTGTCAGTGTGCTTCCATCACAAGTTGTCAGTGTGCTTCCATCACAAGTTGTCAGTGTGCTGCCATCACAAGTTGTCAGTGTGCTCCCATCACAAGTTGTCAGTGTGCTTCCATCACAAGTTGTCAGTGTGTTTCCATCACAAGTTGTCAGTGTGCTTCCATCACAAGTTGTCAGTGTGCTTCCATCACAAGTTGTCAGTGTGCTTCCATCACAAGTTGTCAGTGTGTTTCCATCACAAGTTGTCAGTGTGCTTCCATCACAAGTTGTCAGTGTGCTTCCATCACAAGTTGTCAGTGTGCTTCCATCACAAGTTGTCAGTGTGTTTCCATCACAAGTTGTCAGTGTGCTTCCATCACAAGTTGTCAGTGTGCTTCCATCACAAGTTGTCAGTGTGCTTCCATGTTTCCATCACAAGTTGTCAGTGTGCTTCCATGTTTCCATCACAAGTTGTCAGTGTGCTTCCATGTTTCCATCACAAGTTGTCAGTGTGCTTCCATGTTTCCATCACAAGTTGTCAGT